AATACAAATCCCACTATCGCAGCAATACATTATAGAGCATTATTCTTCTCCCCGCGTCCCTCTGCCGATTGTTCCTCTGACCGGCAGTGCCGTAGGTAAACGTGGAGCCGGCCTACTGAGCAATCAGGAAGCTGGGCAGCGAGTAAAGACACGCCTCCTGGCTTCCTGATTGGCTGGAAAGCCGGCTCAATGCTAATTGGCTGGGAAGTCGGTTTCACAGCCAATCACAATCGAGCTGGCCAAACAACATGGAGCCGACTTCTCAGGCAATCAGGAAGCCAGTTGGCATGTCATTATTTACTGCCCGGCTTCCTGATTTCCCTGGAAGCCGGCTCCATGCCAGCGGAAGCACCGGTAAGCACCGATAACCGCAAAATATCGGTGCTCAATACCAAAAAAAAGGTATCAGTGCAACCCTAACCAGTACCCTTTCCATTTTAGGTATGGGGAGATTGCTTTCTCTGGTGTGTATGAAGTATAAGGCCCCTTTCACAAGGTGAAAGGCATTCCCTTCTTTAGACAATTGTTACTGAAAACGGTATTACCCTCACCTGTATAATGTTGAATTTTCCATCAAGATCTGGCTCATTGTCAACTGTCACCAGATTAAATAGAGAGGGTGGATATCTGAGGCCTAAACACAGAAATGAAAATTTTACAGGGGTTCTAATGCTTCCCTACCCAGAGAGCGGCTATACTGCGCTCTACCCAGAGAGCGGCTATATTGATGCTTTAACGTTAAGTGCTTCAGTGAGGGGAGAGGTTAATCTTCAACATAATTGCAGAATGCTTTATTTTAGAGAGTGAGGTCAATTTACTGTTAGGACTGAACGAGAAATGGATGGAGGATTTTCCCCGCCAAGCTATTGTATTCCGACAGCGGCGAGTGTGCCGTTAGTCAAATACCTGAACAGTGACTGAAGCTGGTCAAAAATTCAGACTGGATGCTTTGACAATAGTCAATGGAAAAAAAACCTGACTTTTTCGAATGAAGGGGTTCCAACTGGGTTGCACACTGCTTGAATTTTGGGCAAGTCTTGCTGAGTGAAATTTGAGCAATGTATGGTCAGTTAAAATTTAAAAAAAAAAAAAAAACCTAACCAAAAGTCAAGGAAAGAAACAGCTGATCTTGACATACTTTTTTTTTTTTTCTTTTTTTTTTAGGTAGTGTCCACCTCATCACATCAGCTGTTCCATAACCTAGCCTAACAATACCCCAATCCCATGTGTCTGACCTTTGTGCTCACCAAGAAATAAATGATAGAAACAGGCGCTGTGCACTTTTTTTAAAGCTTATTGGAGAAATGGAACTGGAGGTGACTCGTAGGTATTAGACCAATTTAATCCTTTTTTGTTTTTTTTATTAAATCCTCAGATCACTTGGAATATTTTATTTAGATCCCCTTTAGAATATTGATTATGATGATTTAAAAAAAAAAACAAAAAAAAAACAGGATATACTATGGAAAACAAAAACAAGTAGAAGCATCAGATTTCATTGGAAAAATACAATTACAATAATTACTTCTAGAGGAAATCTAAACAAAGCTTGCATGGCAAATAATAATTATCCTTGTTTCTAGGTAGCAAAAAACAACACGTACATTGTATTCTCATTCTTACCTTCCACGAAGGCCTTATTCGTTCTATGTGATTTAACACACACTGTATGTACACAGGTGAGCCATTGTTTTAAACAGAGCTAGTTCACATCTGTGTGGTGTTTAGATGTTTGTAGTCTTTTGTTGGATGCACTGACTTGCATTATATGGCCTATTACTGACAATGGCAGCCCATGAAAATGCGTGTAAAAGCGCATGAATATGGGCACGGAAAGGTGTGAAATCAGCTATTGACTGATAAAGCGTTAAAACCAAGCACATTTTAACAGGATGGTTACATGTTTTGATGTCTGCATTGTTATATATAGAAACAATAAATATTATACAAAAAAATAAACAAAAAAGAAGAAGGACACGTTACAAGATAAACAAGGAATATTCCAAACATTTAAAAATACATTTTCTTAGTTGATCCCCAGACACAACCTGCCAGCGAGGTGCAGGATCCATTCACACATATTGCACTGGATCAACGCAGGCCACCACAAGTACACATGAACAACCTGCATTTTATCCCAGCACACTGGACCATTCCGCTAGTCACCACACAGCAGTGCACTGTGGTGCGGGGACCTGAATGGAGTGTACACATTGTACAGTTCACATAAATTTCACGTAAAGTAAAAAAAAAAAAAAAAAAAAAAAATGTAAAAAGCGACAGCGGCGGGATTGTAGGATACAGCACACACTGCCAGAGCTGCCACAAAGAACTAGCCGGTCCACTAAAATACAGCATTTTCCCAGACTGGCTAGTGTGAACGGGCCCTGAAGCATTCTGGCACCAAGTTGCTATTTGTTGTACATCTGCTAAGCTCCCAATGTTGTAAGACAGCATTTCTCAACCTCAGTCATGGCATCCTTTAAAAGTAGGAAAAATATCGAGGCACTCCAGTCTAAAATGTTACAGATTTTAAGGGGACCTCCACGGAAAAACAGAGAAAAGTGGGTTTCCCCCTTCCCATCAAAGTCACCCATTGCAGGAGTTCTCCTTCATTTCAGGAGCCTCCTTTTCACATCAGAGTCGTCATCCTCCCCTCACCCCAGTCTTTATTCCCCCTTCACATCACAGTCCCACTACCTCAACATGTTGAGGCACCCCTGAGGAAGCCAGAGGGCAGCCTGGTTGAGAAACGCTGTTGTAAGATCATTTGTAAGCATCTCTGCTGCGGATTTAGGCTTCAAAGACCATCAAACACAATACTGTTGAAGGACATCACCCAAAAATCACCCAGAAATGCCCTTCATATTTTAAAGGGTTAGTTCACCTAATTCAGTCGCACGCTTCAAGACTGCACTCCACAGCCCAAGCCTGAATGTCAGGGGTAGGCACTCCAGCTGTTGCCTACTGCTGGGATTTGTAGTTCCACATCACCACTCCATCTGTTGTGGAACGAAAAATCCCATGAGGCATTGCAAGATTCCCACAGGCATGACTCCCAGAGACATGAATGATGGGATTTGCAGTTTCAGCACAGTATGGTGGTGAGGTTGCCTACCCCTGCCGTATGGCATCATAATACTGGCAATGGCATGTGGTCATTGGTCAGTGTGCTGACTAATGAAAATCTCTTCAGAGATTACTTTCTTTCAGGACGTTGTCTTAGAATAAAGAAGATATTCTCATTGCCCAGCGCAGACACATTGCCGTGCTGAGCAGTGGCTGCTGCTGCCTTCATCATGATGCTGAGCAGTGGCTGCTTGTTGCTGCCGCCGCCATCATCATGATGATGCTGAGCAGTGGCTGCTTGTTGCTGCCGCCGCCGCCATCATCATCGTGATGCTGAGCAGTGGCTGCTTGTTGCTGCCGCCGCCATCATCATCATGGTGCTGAGCAGTGGCTGCTTGTTGCTGCCGCCGCCATCATCATCATGGTGCTGAGCAGTGGCTGCTTGTTGCTGCCGCCGCCATCATCATCGTGATGCTGAGCAGTCGCTGCTTGTTGCTGCCGCCACCATCATCATCATGGTGCTGAGCAGTGGCTGCTTGTTGCTGCCACCGCCATCATCATGATGATGCTGAGCAGTGGCTGCTTGTTGCTGCCGCCGCCACCATCATCGTGATGCTGAGCAGTGGCTGCTTGTTGCTGCCGCCGCCGCCATCATCATCATTGTGCTGAGCAGTGGCTGCCGCCATCATCATCATCATCATCATCATGATGCTGAGCAGTGGCTGCTTGCTGCTGCCGCCATCATCATCATGATGCTGCACAGCCCCAAGGACTGTGAAGTAAAGTCTTGAAGTGTAGGTGAGTAGGTCATCTAAGTAGCCATTGCAGTGGGGATTAGGGGATATATCTGGTCATACATTGGCAGCTTTTTGTACAAACGTTCAATGCTCATTCTAACTTCTGTTTAAATGTAACATTCAAGTTGTTCATTTTAAATGTTACTTTGTCAGGACAGCTTGTGGAGGAAATACAAATAAGGAAATATGGAATAAATACACTGAATCCTCTCATTACAGGTATTAACCCCATACAGTTCCAGAATACAATATACATATCACTATAGTGGGCCATTAAACCTGACCTCTGGGATTAACAAACACAAGAGGCATGTGTATTCTTCCTTGAATCTTGGCATGCATTGTGCATTTCTTAATCCAGTGTTAAACTATCTCTGTTCAGGAGCTTCCTGTAATAAGGACCAGTCAGTGCTGCTCTCTCTCCTTGTGCAGGGTGACTGGTCTTGTCTCCGCCCCCTCCTGTAGTTCTCCGCAGGCAGCCTGTAGTGTGTGGGGTCCGCTATGCCCCTCCTACAGCTCTGCTCAAGCTATGTATAGCACAGCAATGATGTTGCCACTACTTTTTCATGGTAATATCAGGGTTTGCAAAGACTTGTCACGCATAGAGTGGGTTTATATCCTCTGTGGCTATTGAAGAACATATTTAGATGAAAGCCCTTGTGCATGGAGTTCAGGTTTGTCTGCCATTCGCAAAACTCAAGTTTATAAAATGCCCACTTTTTGGAACCCTGCAGCTGTAAGGTGAGCCTCCGGCAATCTGGGGCTGTCCAGGGAGAACAGTCAGGCAGTCATCAGGTTTTTGACCCAAAAACGTCATTTTTCACCATGCCCCGGCCCCCCCTGTACACACAGCGCTCAGCCCTTTGTTGTGTGCAGTGACACAGATGCTCCTCAGAATAGATGTGCCCAGCAGGTTGTCAGATACCACATTGAAAGGTGGGGGGAGGATATGACACGGACAGTGACTGTAACACAAGGCTGTGGAAGAGGACCTGTCACCATAGTGAGGGCACAGCTGTGTGTTGCATTCCATACCCAGTATGGTATAACCCTGGCATCAATACACCATTATAGAACTGGCTGTCTCTATCCCAACCATACATGCAGTCAGTGGCTGCATGCTAAGTTACGTACCTGCTACCCTGGAGCAACCACCACCGCCTCCTGCTGCTCCCGCCGCTAACATCGGATGGAACCGTTTAAATTTCACCGGAACATAAGTGCCGCGTCTGCGCGCCCCCGGTGCGCGTTCCTCGCAGCTCATGGGACACGAGCCAGGCCACTAGCGCCACAGGCTCAGACTTAGTCACCTCCCCCTAGCAACGAAAAGCGCGTCATAGGGGGCGGGCCAATTTGACGGTCGCCAGGGCACGAAAGCTGGAGGACAAAAGCGTATTCCTAAACAAACATAGCAGCCACGTACGTCTCTATCACACCGAGTAGCATCACCTGGCGCCATCTTAGATGAGGGTAAGAGACTCTATGGAATGGTAGGCAGATTTAGGTTCCAGAAATAACATCTCGTCAGACAACTTCGGGAGGCTATTAAATGTTTCTCTTTTTAATTTCCTATTTCATAAGCAATAAAGGCGATTAGTTCTCGGAACACAGTCTATTCTTAGAGTTGCCATTACTCAACATGAGCTTGGAATAACGTAAACGGCGCCGTGACGTCATTAATGTGCGTCAGAGTAGTTGTCAGCCTCCTAGCTGATGATTGGATGGGATGTATATGCTTGTCTCTAGGTGGAGAGCAGGAAGCGATGCTTTGGTGCTGTTAGTCGGTGAACGCTTCTAATGGAGGCACGGTATGATGGACACCTAATGACATGAGGATGTTCTGGCTTCCTGATCTATAGAGAATGACACATTGTAATACTATTTGGTGAGACACTCTCAGCTTCATTCTAATTATTGTTGTATTTTAGAATGAGGTATAAATCCAATACTTGACACAAGGGAATGTAGCAGTTAAAGAAGCCCCATTGGTTTTAAAGTAGATGTAAATCCTATTGATATTGAAGGACAATAAATATTTGGTTAGTTGAAGCATTTTGTCTCCTAAACAATTGGCATTTTTTAAAACTATATACTATAACCACCTTAATGACATTCTGTATTACATCTCAGTGCTGCCGATCTCATGTAGCCACTTCCTGTCTACATGCATGCACTCAGGGTGGGTTGCCAGGTGGAGAAAAGAGTGGTCTGTGCCTGTGTAATGTGTTGGAATGGCCAGTTGTGGTCTACATCAGAAGCCTGTGTGCCAAGGTGACAACACAGGAGTACAGTTGTAAGGTGGAGACAGAGCATTGTCATGCTATAGCAGAAAGTGCCTAAAGAAAGAACTTCATTGTAGGATCAGCAGGTTTTATATTAATAAAACTGCAGATGTAAATATATTAAAAGTGGACATTAAGGATTATATGAGATGTTAGTGGCTGGGTTTACACATACTATAAGTGAACATATTCGTGCTTTTATCTGTGTGGTCAAGGTGTGTCCCTCTTTCCTATCTCAGAAGGTTGAGAGGTACGCATATTACTAAAAATGCTTCCTTCAGTTTGCTTTTATTCTCTGAAACTCTTGGGGGGAGGGAATTTATCATTGCAATTGTGAGTGTTTGAACTTGCACGGAATATATTTGATGCACTTTGCGCCAGATTTATGACGCTAATGTAATGTTGTTCATAAATGAGGTTTAATAGACTCCAGGAAAGAAGACTCGTAACTCCAAGCTAAAAGCTTAAGAGAACTATGGGGTAAGTGTTTTTTCCTCATAGTTCTCTTTAGGGTCACAGGAGGACATATACTAACCTCCTCCCGTGACCCAAAGCTCAGTATATAGTGAGCTATTACCCGCGATATACTGAGAGCACCGCAGCCGGGAAGGATCCCGACAATATTGTCCATATCCACCCAGCTGCGTGAGTGACAGCTGGCTCTGCCCGCCCCATGCCCCGCTCATTCCTCCACTCAGCGCTGGAGGATCAGAAACAGGGGCACATGTTAAAAGACAGATTTGCACATATAAAAAATAAATGATATCAGAAGCTAAAACTGTCGCATTTGCTTTGATCAATTCCCCCCTTTTGTCTTCTGCTAATTTGTGGTGTGCACATTCTACATTCCAGGGGTTACATCACAGTTATCAACTGCATGCTCTTTGCCCTACGAAAGGCAAGGCAGCGTGGCCATGGTTGAAGGTCTTCTTCTTACTATTTAGAGCACGTTCTACAGAAACCTCTCATTGTGCTGGTTTGCTTCATTCGCAGCAGAACTGTTGTATTGGGGATTGTGATAATAAATAATACAGGGGTGGACAAATTTAAGGTGACATTTAGGATCCAGTCTGTCCAATCCAGGGGCCAGCTACACTGACCACAACTAGATGGAACTTTAAAAGTTAGGAGCCAGCTGTCATTTTTAAGGAGCATTGGCTACCTGGCTCCTGGAATGTGTCCAGCCGTGGTATAGGCACTATATTTTGGTCCATTGACCTGCGTATTTCGAATTGAGTCAGTTGAATGGGGTCCTTCGTGTGCATTATAAAGGCCTATGCAATGAATATGTTTGCTGTTCGTAGTCTGGAGCATTGCAATGAACAGATCATGTCTTTTTCATGTAGACCAATGTTGAGTCTATTTCTACTTTCTATTTTGAACACGGTTGCTTCATATTGTTTGGAAATGTTGCCTATTGCATTTTGTAATAATAAAGTGATTGTGTTGTGTTCTCGTTGTGTTCCAGGGATACAGCTCTTCCTCTTGGCTCTGAAAGCCCCTAAAAGCAGTTTAAATGAGAATGTCCTTGGCGCAGAGAGTGCTCCTCACCTGGCTTTTTAGTTTGCTTTTCCTCATCCTGGTGGTGCTGAAGCTGGATGAAAAGGCTCCATGGAATTGGTTTATTATTTTCATCCCCATCTGGATATTTGACACTATTCTGCTCATTATGCTGATTGTAAAAATGGCAGGACGATGTAAATCTGGATATGATCCCAGGAACGGGGCTCAAAATATGAAGAAAAAATCCTGGTATCTTACAGCCATGTTACTGAAATTGGCATTTTGCCTTGCCCTTTGTGCCAAGCTGGAACAATTCACCAGTATGAAAATATGTTTTGTCTTTATTCCATTATGGATCCTGCTGATCGGAGGACTGATTGAACTGGGAATAAATGTGTTTTATGTCAGACGAGATCAGTAACACCCAGGAAGGGCAGTACTGGGGACTGCAGGGATGAGGAAATATGGCATGCATGTATACCTTGGCGATTGTCTTTGACATCATAAGAGTTATTTTCCACCAAACTGACCTGTAGGTTCACCCCTCACTCCCATGGGCTGCAAGCAGTTTAATGCTGTCAAGCAACATTGGTGTTCTGCTTTGAATGGATTGTTAGAAGGCTGCATGGTTTTACTGTATCATATGTAAATAAATGGAAACTTATGGTGTAAAGCTTAGAGATTTCTGTGTATGACTAAAATACTGTTTTTTGTTTTTTTTTAATAGTGTAGTTTAGGAACAAGAAACACTTATTAGAAGGCTTTGAGGAGTCAGCAATGTTAAAGCGGATCTCGTTTTTCATGCTCCGTATTTATTTGATGGACAGATTGATATTCTTATCCCTTTTACTAATCATTGATTCTGTCTCATCTTGAGTATGTGGTTCAGTTTTGGTCCCCAATTAATTAAAAGGATGTCCTAAAATTGGAATAGGTCCAGCAAAGGGCAACAAAGTTTAATAAGTGGGCTAGAGGACTTCAGCTAGGAGGAATGAATAAATAATGTAAAAGTATTTACAGTTGAGAGGAGGTGCTTAAAAGGAGACATGATGCCTACAAATTAATGAATTGTGACTGTAAGGGTGGTGACAACTCAATTAATCCTAGGTCCCTGAAGAGTAGTGATGGGCTCGGGCGTGTTCGCAGCTTCACGTGCCGAGCCCACTAGGAAGCTGACAGCGCCGCAGCGCCAATCACAGGCACTGAGACATTTTCCGATCTCTGCAGCTGCGGACCGGGAACATGTCTCAGTACCTGTGATTGTTGCTGTCAGCTTCCCGGCAGGCTCGGCACGTGGAGCTGCGAACACGCCCGAGCCCATCACTACTGAAGAGCACATGAGGGCAAAGTTTAACCCTTTCACTGCCACCAATGTAAGGCTTAAGTCGGTGGCAGTGGGCCCATTTAACCAGAAGCCACTGGTACTCTGTTTACAATTGTAAAGCCGGCTGTCGGCTTTACAATGGAAGCGATTCTGGCAGCTCAGCTGCTGTTTGATCGCTTCCACGGGCCAGTAAAGTGCTCACCCCCCACTTGACACCTCCGCCGTGTTTTTTCCAGGCTGCGCTGCCCCTTCGGCGGGCCCGGGACCAGCATGTCGGGCACTGGTGGGAAGCTGGGGAGGAGAGCAGTTCTATGGGACTGGGAGCGAGGCAGATTACATCACTTCCAGTCCCTGAGCTGTCAGTGCTCGGCTCCTGAAGCCCAGCAATAAGCTATTGAAGTGTGATCTGCTCTTCAATAGCTTATTTAAAGTGGAAAGGTGACATTGGGGGTATTTTGGACCCCTAGTGTCACCTTAAAGAGGACCTGTCACCACCAATATGTTATCACTATCACATGGGAGCTTGTAAGCCCCCTTATGTGATGGCAATTAAAGAAAAAAAATATTAAAGTGACATTAAAGGCAAAACAATTGTTAATGTTAGCACTTACCTTAAATTATGTCTCTTTTTCCGATCTTCCTCTTCTTTCCTGATGTTTTCAGCCTTCTCTCCAGCGGTGCGGTGGCTATCTGATCCAGCGCTGACTGCTCTGTCCCTCCGATCCAGCAGTGTCTGCATGCGGGTGCACGCGTCCATAGACTTACCTTGCGTCCCTCGTCGCGTTCCGGCCAAAAATGAGAACTGCGCATGCGCCCGCCCCAACATCCTTTGCGGCCGCTCGAGAAATTTCTCAACTGCTGTTTGAGCTGTTTTTTTTGTTTTTTTTTAAAACTTTGCATATATCTACTGCTTGCTAGCAGTAGATATATGCAAAAAAACGGGAGGGTTTAACCTCTTGCCGTCCGCCCGTAGTAAAAAAACGGACGGACGGCACTGCTGCATTTGCGGGTTGCCGTCTCCAGACAGCAATTATTTTCTGCTCGCGCGCGCCCCCTAGCGGGCACGCACGGGCAGAAAAGACCCGACCATTAAACACACCCGTTACCGGGTGTCTGACATATAGGAGATCAGCGGGTCCATAGCCCGCCGATCGCCTATATGTGCTCGTTCGCAGCACCCCGCCGCTGCCGGTTCCCCCCCGACCCCTCACCTTGAATCCCGGGATCCGCTGCCCCGTCTGCGGCCCGGGATCGGCTCGGAGGGCGTCAGGAGGAGGAGGACGGGAGATCAGCTCCTTGCTGATCCCCGTCCGGGCTGTGAATGCAGAAGTGATGTGTGTTACATCACTTCCGCATTCACCTGTCAGTCATCTGGAGAGAGAAGAAGCTGATAAAGCAGATCTCTGCTTTATCAGCTTCTTTTGGGGTCCATAGGTGATATTAGGGGTCCTAGAGACCCCTAATATCTCCATAAAGAGGACCTGTCAGTGTGCCTTTGCTATTATATAGGGGGTTGTTATCCCCCTATATAATAGCAATAACAATAAGTGCAAAAAAAAAAATATAAATAAAAAAAAAGAAAAGTAACACATAAAAAAATAAAATAAAATAAAAGCCACATATAAAAAAAGGGGAAAAAACCCCCCCAAAATGTTTAACTCCCCCACCCCCACGTTTACGCGCCTATAAACGTAAATACGCGTCCGGTGCCCCAGCGCGCAAAAATTACAATTGCGCTACACATGTTACATATCGCCGCGAACGTCGCAGTGAGAGCAATCATTTTAGGGCCATCAATCACTGATAACACTAAACTGATGAGCGGTAACAGCTTTTAAAGCGTCGCCTATGGCCAATTTTGGGTATTATCGTTTTTTGAGGTTTCGCGCGCGCACGCATTTTTAAGGCTTGACATGTTTGGTGTCTTTTTACCCGACGTGACCCCATCTTTTATATTTTACCAAAAAATTGGGTAATAATAAATGTTTTATCATTTAATATAGGGGGGACTGTTTTGTTTTTTTTTAAATTCGGTAATTTTTCCTTACTATAGTAAAAAAATAAAAACCCCAGTGGTGAATAAATACCACCAAAAGAAAGCTCTATCTGTCCCCAAAAAAGGGTATAAAATTCATTTCCGTACAGCGCTGCATGACGGAATAAATGTCAGTCAAAGTACCGCAGCGCTGAATACTGAAAAATGGCCTGGATGGGAAGGGGGTTTAACACCGCGGATGTCAACTGGTTAAATGTCCTTTAAATAAATGTAAAAATAATGAAATGTTTTTTTAAAGTCCCCCGCAAGCGCATTCACATTAACATGTGTCGGGTGCGCCTACATACGAAAACGATGATCGCGCTACACATTGGTCGGTTGGGTATCGCCTTGGCACGCCAGACTGAGAGCAACAATTCTAGTGCCAATATTTACGCGCATCCCTAAACTAATGACCTGTAGGGGCTTTTAAAAACAATATCTATGGACTTTTTGGGAGTACTGAATTTTGTCACCGTTTCACGGACGCACACAATTGTTAACCTGGGCATGTTGGGTATCCTATTTATTCATCATAGCCTCATCTTTTATACTTTACCAACAATATTTTATTGTGTTTTAGGGCACTAAAATTAAGTGCATTTTTCACTAATCTTTTGTGTTTGATAAAGAGTTGCGCTAATATTGTGCAACAGAAAAATTTGCAACTGCCACCATTTTATTCTACAGGATCTTGGCTTTTAGAAAATATATAATGTTTGGGAGTTTGAAGGAGTTTTCAGGCGTAAAATGTGGATAACCTATGTAAAAATTTTTTTAAAAAGCCTTAGCAGCGAAAGGGTTAAGGTCAGAGGAAAGGAGGTTTTATCTAAAATTGTGGAGCTTTTTTTTTTCTTCTTCAGAGCAACAAAACTATGGAACGCTCTTCCTTCGATATTGGTAACAGCTGGGAGGATTGTCATATTTGAGAAAACTCGGATATTTACCGCGCGATATCGCTCTCAAGGGGGCTCTGTCCGTCGCTGTTGCGGGTCGTGCGTCACTACAGCAGGACCCTTTTTGGAGCGGATTTTGCCGCGATTCTAGCTCGCTCAATGCAACCATTTGCGCGATATCGCGTGACAAACGCGTGATTTGTGAATCGCTCAGTGTGAATGGGGCCTTAAATGTCTTCTTCAATGAGCACGATATATACAACAATATGTATACTCTTAGAAAACATACACACACACACACACACACCCCACACTCATGGACTGGACGGACCCATGTCTTTATCCAAGTTCATCTACTATGTAATATGTAAGTGTCCTACTATGTAATATGTAAGTGTCCTACTATGTAATATGTAAGTGTCCTACTTATATGTATTTATTACCTATCGCAGTATTCCCCTGGCAGTGCCTTCATCTGTTTTTTCTCTCCAGAAAGATGGATCCATAATTAATGACGCTTCATTCAGGGTCAGAATGGCCGCCATCTACTATCTGGACTTAGATCCACAGCAACAAACTTGTGAGCCGCAGACAGAGTACTGATCTCACATGAACTTTCTTGACTAAAAGTAAATGCACAACTCTCCTTGGTCCTTTCCTGTGACATGTTTTACTATGCAGTAGACTAAGCTGTACTCCATATGCAGCTCACAAGTATGTTGCTGTGGATTTGCTAGGCTGAGGTTAAGTGGCTGAGCTGTACCTGGGGTTAAGGATATTTTGAGGCACTGAGACCATGTGTGGAGTTACATCACCCTGGACTGCAGTTCTGACTCAAAAGATGATACAGCTGTGGTGAAGTTGTTGGCTGTGCTCACAGATGTCTGATATAGATCACCCCTGTTGCGTCCTCTTACCTTTTTGACTGGCTATAAAAGACAGTGTTGCCTTGTGATCAGTGGGGAAGAGTAAACTGAGGGGGAAAAAAATCAGCTTGCCTGCAGCCGACTAATGACATCCTCTCAATCTAGGATGAAGTCACTTGACTGGAGCTCAAACACTGCTTTTTACTGGGGGGGGGGGGGGGGGTGTTTCCTTTTTT